ATCAACGACCAAGCCAATAGCTCGCATACGTTATAACAATGTCGCAAATTTTACTGTGACTATGGTGCGTACCTTGTGTAGTTTGACTGTTAGTTCGAAAATAGAAGAAATTAATTACGGATGAATTACGCAATACCGACGTATACAATTGTGTAATTGTGACGTATCAAAACGTGTACAAAAAAGTCTCTATTTCCGTGGCGCATATCACGGAGTGATTGTATTGTTTCATGCACACATATGTACTACAAAATAATATGGTTAATTTTACGGTGCAATTATGAGCACCGTGACGCATATAAATAAATTGGTTTTTAGATAATGACAGTATGATATTAACGGTATTTAGAATACGATTGCCAGTAACGAGATATGTATGTGTGATCGTTGTCTACGTGTTATGTAAGCAGGTCTATTACAGCGTGAATAATAAAAATAACGCGATATGCAATTTATAAAATTTGGTTTACTCGAAAAATTGGCTCATCTTATGAAGATTTCATTAAATTTCATTTTTTTCAGCTTAAAATGCAAAAATTGTACCACTTTTCTAATTTGTGATTGCACACAGACGTGATTGCATGCTATTCACCATCTGAATGACCTTTTCTATAATACCATTAATCATGGGGGAAATGCTGACTGATTGGTGAATTCACGTCAATTGCACCAATCACTGAGCGTTTAGGCGCGTGTTGGCCTTGTCAACTTGAATCATAATTAATCACGCTAAGTTGACTGGAAAGTGATATGGTGGCGTTATTGACGGGGATGAATTCAAATATCGGTCTAAATACAACCCTTTTAATTTTTTGGACATATAAATAAGTACTAAGCGATTTGAAAGTAGTATAAACGAAGTGTGTCATTTAAGAAAGAACAATTTAAAGATAACAAAAATCTCCGAGTGGTTGAAATTGACGATCGAGAGTTGCACAACTTCTCTTATATATACTGTGTAAAACGACGAAGCATGTTCATTTCTGAAATGAACATATAACTGACAAGCGCTAATTCCAAATCATATTACCTCCATGCCGATACCCAGTTATACATGTCATTTCAGTAGATGATCGTAATTCCACTTATTTGTAGGATTGTGGTAGTGAATTGAAAGATTGAATGTACAGAAATAAAACTAAACTAAATCGTGATACAACTCGCAATATTCATGTATATGGCACACATGCATTAACAAAATCGACATGATTATACAGTAATTTTATGAAAATTTGTTTCGGATGTAATTATTAACTTTTTTTTTCTCTCAACACGTGTTATGTACAATCAGTGAGTACTGATGTTTAACATTCTTAGTATACAAGACGAATATTCCAATTCAACACTTTATGTCCGTACCCGATATTTGGAGGGAGGCGATAAGAATACACATTTCATTTTAAATAAACAACACTGTAAGTCAGCCTCGATGAGACTGGAATAATTACAACGCACCCAGTACATATTGAAACTCCTATTTCTACTAAATGGTAGCCTACCACTCAAAATAAGTCATTTAAAAAGAAAGAAAATGAGATATATAAGTTAAGAGATGTATGAAATATAATAAATTGCCATGTTAGAACTGCTTATAATTATTAAAATATTGCAAGAGCCGAACTCCTCAAAATAAAATAATATATTAGTTGACATTTCCGATAAGGTAACCTTAGTGTGCCTTATAATTCACTGACATTCATAGAGAAAACACCTTACTTCATTCATTATCAATTTCCTTTTGCTATGGCTTGATTTGTCAACTTTTGCTGTAATTGTTTTACTTTACTTTCGTTTCCAAGGTCACTATATAGAATATGCATCTTTATGTCACACATATTTATAAATATGATAGGGCGACATATTTTTTTTTTTACCACTGGCCTTCTCTGAATATTATATTTCCCAAATTGTTATGTTCTATAATACAGTTGTAGTTTTTTGACGCAATTATGTGCGACGCTAAGAGTGGCGTAATGCAAACCAACCAATATTGTGTGGTAAATTCACTGTAATATACGTAAGATCCAATCCACGACAAAAACAAAAGTATTGTATCATAGAAATGTGAGGGCGCTGCAGACAGGTGAAAGGTCAAAATTGAAGTTTTTGTTGCCATTGACTAAGAACTTATAAACAAGACTGATTATTGGTTTATTAACACATTTCTGGCATGTTTCGTAGAAAGAAGGTAAGTATCCCAAAATTAGGTTGTACGCCGGTGTGTCGTATTAATGCATGACCGTATGTATTAACATTTGTGCCCAACTTGGCGTTTTTCTGTCAGCTTGACATTGTTCTGTCGTCTCCAGTACTTGCGTTTTCTGGGATCACTGTGCAGTAAACTCTTTTGAAGCAAGCTTGTGAAACTTTACTACTGTTGTTATCTTCCAGGGGACATTGACCAATGACCAGATTAAACAGCTCGAAGCGCGGACAGTTTGTAAGTGAATTTGATCTGTAATGTAAGGGGTTGGCCGTCAGAAGCGATGGATGGTTTAGCTGGATATTTTGCTGAATGATTTTCCTGTAGTTCTGTTTGCTTATTTTTTTTCTAGATTCTGGTAAAATCCAACATTATTCTGTTTAACTTGTCCTGTAACACATATAGATATCCATCTCAAGTAAAGTTTCATTCGTTGAGTGGAAAACTGAAAAGCAGGAATGGTTGAATTATGGCACATCCAAATGTGTCAGTTTTCTAGTTTCGATATTTATTTGTTGACTATGTCTTGATGCATAGATTTTTAAACGCAGGACGCCCTCTATATTCTGACCTTTTTACTCACAGTCAACTGGTGTACAAGTGATAATCAAATAAATGTGATTTACCTACTGATTTGACTATAGGGTTAGCCATCCTAAATCTGACTTGAAATTAATATTAGAAATAAAGTTTCAAGCCATATTCGAAATGCATAGCTGCCCCCACATAGTAATACAGTATGTAAATTGATTGCATTTGCACAGCTGACTGTTTTTACTTGTATGAGGGTGTACCCAAAGTTCACTTACATTTTGTAATATTCAAATGTGTAATAAATTATTTCACTGAAATCCAATTGCCAAATGTTACTAAGAGAAGAACCAATGAATATTATATTGTTTTAAGAGCTAATGGATTTCATATATATATTCTTGATTACAACTGCAAAGAACAAAAAATAACAATAATAAATAAATCAAAATTAAATAAACCATGATTAAAAAATTGTACTTTTTGTTCGCAGTTAATAGTGGAGAAATAAAAAAGATCCAACAAAAGTATTCTAATTATGCTGAACAAGGTGGCAATGGTATTAGTTATATGCGATTGGAATCCCTACAACAAATACCAGAGTTGGTTGGGTATACACTGATTCCCAGAGTGGCTTCAACAATAGCTGATAAACAGAGTGGATTGCTGACAGCAGAGTCTTTTGTCGAATTACTGTCAAATATGAGTCCCAGGAAAAATGTGGATCAAAAACGAAAATGTAAGTACTTGCTCATGGTAGGTTTTGTCACTGACAACAGTTGTGACTTTGTGAGAGACTTGGTTAAGGTCAGAAGGGGCTTGTGTTCAACAGGGCTTGGTGGATGTCATCAGGCCTTTTGGATGCGATCGGTCTTGGTGGATGCGACCAGTCCAGGTGGATGTGATCTGGCCTGGTGAATGCTAGTATCACTACTTGTTAGTACAGAACAAAGTCACTGAGACAGGTTCTTATTTTTAGATTGTCGTTGAGGTTTGTACAAATATAGCATTATTATTACTGGAAATCATATATTAATAAGACAATCATGTCACCAATCAAGTGTCAGAATGATATTTTTCATGTATATTAACACAAAATCTTCTTTATATACTAGTACCACAACTATTGTTAACCTGTTGTTTCACTTCTCTAGTTTTATTTGCTGTTTTTGATATGTACAATGAGGGCAGTATAAAGCATGATGAGTTATTCAGAATGTACAAGACTATGTTTAATCCAGCCCTTGGTGATGACCAGATACTCAATATGGTTACAAAGATATTAGATAATACACAGACACCTGGTGAGTTGTCATATGAAGAATTTACAGAGGTAAGCGTGTAATCTATGGGAAGTTTGTATTCTGTCGATTACAAAAGGTTGATCAACATAATTTAATTTTTGCAGGTTTGTCCACATTTTTTGTTAAACTGCAAATATTTGAAAGCTCTATGTTTGAATAAGAATCAACTATTATGTTAACACTGCCATTTATTTATTTTATTCACTGTCTACAAAAACTGATGATGATTAATATGCATGCACTTAATTTTATCCACATTCTGTTTGATGAATGAGGATGGGTTTGAATCAAATGTGAAGGAGTTCACATAAATATTATTGACCATTCGGAAAACAATTGACAATTAGGACCTGTGACCCTATTTATAATTTTTTTTAAAACAAAGTTCTCTTCAAATTGTTTCCTATTATCTGTAGTTTCCAAAAAAGTTTAAGACTTCATTATTAGAATTTATAAGTTCTTAGCTCCGCTGTCTACGAAGTCGAGCGGAGCTTATAGTATTACTGATTGTCCTGCGTCTGGCGTCTTGTTAAAAACCGCAAGTCCAATTGCTTTGATATTACATATCTAGGTATTACATGTGAATCTCTCAGATTTGTTCATTTCGTGATGATATCTTTAATTCTCTAATTTTTATGAATATTTTTGTCATTTTTGGTATTTTGGTCATTTTTTATTTTCGACTTCTTGTTAAAAACTGCAAGTCTAATTTCTTTGATATTATATATACTACATAGGTACTACAGGTAGACCTCTCTCAGATTTGTTCATTTCGAGATGATTTTGTTCTTCAATTATCTAATTTTAATGAATATTTTTGATAACAAGTTATAAAAAGTACATATTGTTCATTTCTGATGATATCTTCAGTTCTTTAATTGAAATGTGCATTGATAACAACGGAGCTATCTCAGCCAACAGGCTGCTAGTTTACTTTCACTTTGTATCATGCCTATAAACTTGTCAACTTGAAAGAGATTCAGACTGAAGTAAACATTGTCATTTTCTTCATACTTTTATCATTGTGGGTTCTATCAATATAGCATATCACTGATGGCACTGTTCATTTTATTGAAAAAACACCAAAAAATCAAACAAGTGACTGAATGCAAGTCTATCTACATTCCTGAAAATTAGCATCTTCTACATCTCTTGACTGTTTGAATGAAAAATTATGTTCAGTTCAACTGATGAATTTGAATTCTGATTTTGAAAGTGAAAATAGTTGATACTGGTTTTCTACTGCACACATCTTGTAACCGCTAAGACATCTGTATCTAAGCAAATAAATTAAAATCCCTCATTAGAATTAAATGGTGCTATGTTGATGGCATTTTGTACATATTTGATTAATGTAGTATCTAAGATTTATTCCCTAATTTATATTATAATCTGGTCTAACAACCCCAGAAAAAAACAAATTTTCACTATTGATTTTAATTGATTTGATGGTAATATTAATAACAAACATTTTAATTTAGTTGAATGCAGCACATGGTTGACTGGCTTTTGGCCAGTTCAACAATATCAGTATTTTTTCTTTGGATACTGCATAGCTACAATACAATCTGCCATATTTTGACAATTATAGTATTCACCCAGGGAACCCCCACATGGCAACTCTTAGAGAATATAAAACTGTGATGCTCAAATATGGTGAAAATCTCATACAGGGAGCCCTCACATAGCAACTCTTGGAGAATGTTAAACTGTGATGGTCAAATATGGTGAAAATCTCACCCAGGGAACCCCCACATAGCAACTCTTGGAGAATATAAAACTGTGATGCTCAAATATGGTGAAAATCTCATACAGGGAGCCCTCACATGGCAACTCTTTGAGAATATTAAACTGTGATGCTCAAATGTGGTGAAAATCTCATACAGGGAGCCCTCACATGGCAACTCTTTGAGAATGTTAAACTGTGATGTTCAAATATGGTGAAAATCTCATACAGGGAACCCTCACATGGCAACTCTTGGAGAATGTTAAACTGTGATGCTCAAATATGGTGAAAATCTCATGCAGGGAGCCCTCACATG